AAGATGGGGCAATCTACTTCCGTAGTGATACTGCCTCGGAAACCCAAGGAGGGGTCGCTATGAGTTGGGTCTGACTCAACGGCACATAACAACAATAACAAATCTTACAAAGGGGTCCCTAGGTGGCACACACAATTAAGTACTAGACTACTAACCAAAAGGTTGACTAACCCACCCAGAGACACCTCAAAATAAAGGCCTGACGATCTGTTTCTAAAAGGTCACAGCCTTGTAGTTCTACTTTGCATACATTAAGTCACCATAAGTCGGAATTAATTTGATAGCAATTGGTAGAGTGCTGGAAATCTCATAAAATATAAAATTTCCCCACACTATCCTTTGAGGAGAAATTTCTGGAAAAGAAATGAATTAACAAGTTACTTTGATTCTTTGATACTTCCCCCCCCCCCCCCGAGTTTCTCTCTCATCCCTGGATTCTTCCACAGTGTTAGCTATGGTCAAAACTGTGATACTTAATACATGTTCCTTCAGTGATTTCACATTTATATAATTAACCTTTCATCCACTTACTGTTTAGCCTCAAATTTTCTCTTCCTTCTAACTGCAGTTGAAATGGCATTTCACCTAACTGTCCATCAAAGAAGATTCATATTTTTTCTGATTGTTGGCTGTCTCCCATAGTTGGAGGCATCTTGTTCCCTGGGCATCCATATGCCCAAAGAACATCCAGAATATTATGTTCCAAAAAAGGCTGTTATTTCCACCAACAGCAGGTGGCCTAAAAGCTGCAGCCTAGCACCATTTACAAGCCATCAGTGTGTTTGACTGCCCAGGCTCTCTGCCTATCCTGCATCACTGAGTTTTGCTGGTGTGATGGTTATGTTTGTATGTCAACTTGGCTAGGCCTGGTTGAGGGGCTGGGCAGCTGGATGTAGTATTCCCCCATGATGAGACTGGTAATCAACTCCATGGTGAAATCTACTGGGAGCAGCTGAGTAGCTGCCTTTAGGTATGTGGTCTGCTTCCTGTATATAAGGAGAAGCTTTGAGAATGGTCTCTAGCTTATGGCACACTTGGACCCTGCATGTAGCTGTGTCATTGCTCAGCAGCCTGCTATGCTCTGCCGACCTTGGGACTTACAATGGACTTAAATTAATGGCCTGCCGTGTGGTTTGGTAACATCGGGACTGTGCCTTTTTACTTGTCAACCTTGGGGCTTCTCAGCCTCAGCAGCCAGAAGCTGAGTGAAGAAATGCCTCTAGCTCCAGTGGGCTGGGATCAGGAGGCAGAGTTGGACCCCAAGGTTGAGGGGCTTTCACCCAGCCCCTAGAGCCTGGCACTTTGAACTTGGACTTAAAGCCTCCAAACTGTCAGAGAATAAACTCCTGTTTGTTAAGGCCATCCCATTTGTGGTATTTTCTTGTCAGAGCAGCACTAGGTAACCAAAACAGCTGGACACCAAG